CTTTTTAATTGTAATACATTTGATCCTAAATTTTGAATCTCGTTTCAAATAAGAATAATTGTAGATACTGTTAGATTTTTTAAGGATAAAATCGTCAATTTGATAAAATATAAATTAATTTGACAAAAATAAATGTCAAAAAAATATTTTTGAATTTTTAAAAATTATTTCTAACAACTAAAGATAAAATTATATAAAATTGATAAATCTTTTAGACATTTATTTTTTTTACCAAATTAATTTTTATTATGTATTTAGATGATGATTATGTAAAATTAATTTTTAAAAATTTATCATGTAATTTTTATTAATTTTTATCAATTTTACATAATTTTATTTTTAGTGGGTAAAAATAATTTTTAAATTATTTAAAATATTTTTTGATATTTATTTTTGTCAAATTAGTTTATATTTTATCAAATTGACGATTTTACCCTTAAAATTAAGCAATGTTATATTCAATTGTCCTTATTTGGAACAAGATTCAAAATTCAGAGTTAAATGTGTCACAGTTGAAAAGTCAGGGATTAAAGTGACACAAGCCCCAAACTATACAGATCATAAGTGTAATTTGCCATAAAAATATAAAATAAATTTTTTAATTTTAGGATAAAAAATATCACATTTAAACCATAATTATTTCAATTTTTTTAAAAAAATCAAAAAATTTATCTCAAACAAAATTTTTTAATTCCAAATTAAAAAAATCAAAAAGCTAAAAAATCAATTCAAATCTCAAACAAAGCCATATTTGTGGACAACGTTAATGTCAAAACACTACTTAAATGTCTAATCAATAATTAAGAGGAGAAGGAATTGGAATTTCTGTGATCATTTTCTCAACTTGATTGTGTTGTTAAGTCTGGGTAGATCTATTATTTATTTATCTTGATAATTCAAATCATTTATCATGTAAGATCTCTTGAGTAGATTATATAAAAACTCGAATTGGTCAGATAACTGTGATCGTTTATCATGTAAGATCTCTTGAGTAGATTATATAAAAAGTCGAATTGATCAGATAACTATAGACAAATGATTAAATTACATTTTTTTCTTCTTCAAAATAGCAAATTTGTTATCAAAATCATACTTGTCATTTATTTTTATTTTTTTATAACAAATGTAATATAATTATGTGGTTGTGGTTTTCTAATCAATATTATTATTATTATTATTATTGTATGAATAACCTATTAAGAAGGTTACTATCTAAAATAAAATATAAACAAATATATATCTATTAAGAAGGTTACTCAAAAAAAAAATTATTAAAAAAATATTACAAAATAAATAATTTGAATAAAGGTAAGTGTACTAAGATCCAATAGGAAGATTCAAGCCACTATAGAGGATCTTGCCCTCTAAAAAAAATAAAAAACAAAGGCTATTTCCGCAACACGGTTAAAAGCTAACTTTTTTTATTTTTTTTCAATTATATCACTTTTCTATTTATTATATATTTTTTCAAAAAATAATATGAAAGAAAAGTAAAAAAAAATTAACTTTTAACCTATTTATCAAAATGGGCCAAAGTCGACATATCATTAAATAGACACACTAAGGCCATGTTTGTTTGGGTGGACATGAGTTTGGGATTGGACTAATAGTCCAATAAAATTATTAATCTGATATTTGGTTAAACAATTGAAGTACGGATTAATTATTTTAAACTTGACTATTAGTTAAGATAGGATATATAATCCAACGGATTGGTTGTCCTAGGACTATTAATCATAGGAATGCTAATTCAGTCCACCCAAACAAATATGACAGTAATGTGTTCAAGCTATCAAACATGGCACTTGTTTGTTAAAGTTGGGTTGGTGGGGGTGGGGATTGAAATAGTCATAAATATTTAAATAAATTTTTTAACTTTAGGATAAAAAATATTATATTTAAATTATAATTTTTTTAATTTTTTTTTAAATTCAAAAATTCAAAAAATTTATTCCAAACAAAACTTTTTAATTCCAAATTAAAAAAATCAAAAAACTAAAAAATCAATTCAAATATCAAACAAAGCCATATTTGTGGATACCGTTAATGTCAAAACACTACTTAAATGTCTAATCAATAATTAAGAGGAGAAGGAATTGGATTTTCTGTGATCATTTTCTCAACTTGATTGTGTTGTTGAGATTTGTTTATCTTGATAATTCAAATCGTTTATCATGTAAGATTTTTTGAGTAAATTGTATAAAAAGTCAAATTGATCAGGTAATTGTAGACAAATGATTAGATTACATTTTTTTCTTCTTCAAAATAGTAAATGCTATCAAAATCATACTCGTCATTTATTTATTTTTTTATAACAAATGTAATATAATTATGTGGTTACGGTTTTCCAATCAATATTATTTATTTTTTTTTTATGAATAACCTATTAAGAAGGTTACTATCTAAAATAAAGCATAAAAAAAATATATATCTCTTAAGAAGGTTACTAAAAAAAAAGAAAAATATTACAAAATAAATAATTTGAATAAAGGTAAGTGTACTAAGATCCAATAGCAAGATTCAAGCCACTATAGAGGATCTTGCCCTCTAAAAAAAATAAAAAACAAAGGCTATTTCCGCAACACGGTTAAAAGCTAACTTTTTTTATTTTTTTTCAATTATATTTTTTTCAGAGTTATGTCACTTCTCTATTTTTTATATATTTTTTCAAAAAATGATATAAAAAAAAAAATCAAAAAAATTAACTTTTAACCCATTTATCAAAAATAGGCCAAAGTCGGCATATCATTAGATAGACACACAAGTACATTGAAAATTGTCCTACTCCATAGTTTTTTGCAACCCTCAGATAAAAATAAATACATAATAAAATAGGACCATAAACATGATAAAACTTGAGGAGCATTACGGTTTCGTTTTGATAACTTAAATTATTCTTTTTGTAAAGTCCTCTTAACACGTTTGGTACGATGGATCAATGTAATTCACAAAAAAATTATATCGATCCGATAATATTAACCTTTTATCGTATTTGTCTTTAAATAAATGGTTTTGTGTGTGTTTTTTTTGTTGGTGTGTTTTTTGTATTTTTGTGTTTTTTCTTTTGTCTTCAATTTTTTTTTTATTTTTTTTATTTTTTTATTTTTTTATTTTTTGTCTTCAAAGGCACAGAATGGTGCATGGAATGAGAAAGTTTATCTGAATTTTTTTTTCTTCCCCATCAAAAAAAGGTTTGAAGAACAAGAAAAATAATTAGGCATCCAAACAAACAAACAAACATGCTTAAAGCATTGAAAGCTAGACAGGTACCGTGCAGAACTTAATTCAAGATTGTACGCATCATTTATTCACGATATTGATGTGGTGTTTGTTTAGTTATTATCATAAAAGCATAGCTTCCTAAAAATATGACAAATTATATTTTGTAACCCTTTTAAGGAGGATTACTTATTTCTCAACTTTGACTATTAAACTTTAGATTTTTTTCAATTTAGTTATTAATCTATAAAATTTTTAGGGTAAATTATAAATGCACCTTCCGAAGTTTGATAAAAATACGAATCACTTCTTATGATTCTGAAAATTACATTTCACCTCTTGAAATTTTTAATTTTATAATAAATTATCCCTTTTATTAATAAATATAAAGTCAATTAATAATTTTTAATAATGTTATAAATATGTTTCAATTAATAATTTAAGTAATTTTATTCTGGACAACAATTATAAATTTTATTTTTTCAGTTAATTTGGTTAAATAAAAAATTCTGACAAGAGAATATTTATAATTTTCTAAATTACAAGAAATAATTTGTATTTTAAACAAATCTCAAGAAGTGTATTTGTAAATTACTCAAATTTTTATCAACTGTGAAAATCTCTTAACAGAAAATACATGAAAAAGTTTTTGTGCCTCGTGACACTTTTTGGACAACATTTACTAATTGGACCACATTCATAAAAATCTAATAGTTAAGAGACCAAATAAATAAATAAAAAGAAAATTAAAAATCAAGAAATAAATTAAGATTTAGGATAAATTATAAATACATCCCTAAAATTTAATTAAAATATAAATCACCCCCTGTAGTTTTAAAAATTACATTTCACTCATGAAATTTTTAATTTCATAACAAATCACTCATTTTATTAATAAATCATCAAATCAATCAACAATTTTTAATGATGTTAAAAATATGTTTCAGTTAATAATTTACGTAATTTTATTATTGTATAGGAAAATAATTATAAATTTTATTTTTTCAGTTAATTCTATTAAATAAAAATTTTTAATAAAAGAATATTAGTAATTTTTCAAACCGCAAAAAGTAATCTGTATTTTAAACAAATCTCATTTGTAATTTCCCTAAGATTTAAAGAGGCTATACATTCATATAAGAGTATCTCCAATGCACTAGGCATATAATACTTGTTAGTTAAAATGCCTAGTGTGATTCACTTTTTTCAATTCCAATGCACTAGGCATATGATTAGGCATTTTGGCTCAACTCATATTCACTAGCTACATGTAGCTAGCCTTCAACGCTAGGCAAAATGTATTCGATCATTAGGATCATTTCCCTCCATCTTTGTTGTTGACGTGGCATTCTATAAAATTAATAGTATTTGGATAAATAGCTAAAATAAAGAGCATGGTTGGAGTAAAAACATAAAACAGTTGATAGGCAAAATAAAATTTATACTTTATAGTAATATTTGGATAGGTAAAATGCCTACTACCGTTGGAGATGCTCTAACCACTCGATATTTTACTTAATACATGACAGCAAGTTTATGTATATCAGTAAGTACAGATATGCTATGCATCACTAACCTCTTGTCACTAGTTGATTTCAAGGTTGAAACACTCTTCGTTCATATCATTTTCAAAAAAATTTCCTACAGATAATTTTCAAAAATGCAAAAAGCAACCTAGAAGTGATATAAAAAATCGATATTTTCAAAAAAAAAAAAAAAAGATCAGAACTTCAGCTAAAATAATCCTTTTTTCTACTAAAGAAGATAACCAACCAACACTATAGCTGAAAGAAACCCTTTCTCCATTAAACAGATTAACCAAACAATCTACAAAATTTACAAGAAAAAGGGTAACAACTGTGTTCCTTCCCGCTTCATATTCACAGTCCAGGATGACAATGTTAGCACCCAAAATTCACCATGACTCTATGATCCATGCACATTTCACCTTCACACTTTCTAAGTCATCCTTAAGTCGCGACAAGTAATATCATCCCAAAAATCTAAGTCATCCCTAGGAGCTAAAATCATGTCAATGAGCTTTCAGTTTCTTCATGGGTACCTCAGTGGCATTCATATCCTGGTGCCTTTTTGCCAAATTGTATTTACTTTCAAGAGGTAACTGAGAGCTTGGTAAAGAACCACCATACCCAATAAGGTTTGTAGCTATGGCATGTACAGTAGTTTCCTTTTTTGGGTATGAGCAAATTTTTCTCTCCACTACTGAAACCTGCCCACAGCATTGATCTTGAATTGCCGCGTCCTTAAGCTTCTGAATCACGACATTCTTGTCGTGGTTTAAACTGTCCAACTGTGCCTGCAAAGCATAAACAAGGCAACTAGTGAATTATAATCCGTTTCTTTCTTCCTAGATTTTCAGTTCTTCTGGCCCTTCAACAAATAGTAATTGAAAATCGATGCCAGATATGAAAAGGCTAGAAAAGGATTTATTTTGCAAGAATGAAATGATAACTGGAGCAATGCAAATTTTAATGAGTTAAGCCGCAATGTTGCTGGTGTCACTTGGGATATTTATTAATTCAAAAGATCATATGTATCGTGATTCATGATGACACAGGAAATTTAATTGTTGAAATCATTTGAGAAAATTCAAGATTATGATTGTTAATCCGATTGGTTTATCATATGTGAAGTAAAGCAGGATAAGATAGAGCATTTGGAGGTTAAATTTTGCACTCTTGTCAAAATTGTTAAATCCTTGTTATTTGGCATTGACTTGCAGTTAAGACAGAAAGAACGAAAACATTGAGAAATACAGAAGGCTTCAGGCTCTCACTTGAAAATTAACTGGGCACTCAATACTGATACATTGACAGCCACAACCATCACTGAAATTAAGCTTCAGGACAACTTTCAATGGCCTTGTTTTAAGCGTTTCCCTGGTGTATCAATAAACACGATAAAAACAGAAATCAGAAGCATGGTAAATTATACATACAGGTCAGTACAATGGGCTCTTGCAATTCAAAATCAATAGATTCCTTCCAAAAATCCCATTTACGTGCCCTACAAGATTTGCACGCTAAGAAGAACGGACATGGACACACCATATGACACTAACACAGCAAGGGACACAACATGTGCAAAAAATGCAAGACATGACGTGTGGGGGACCCTTGTAAAATATATGATTTGTCATATATAAATATGAATATGCCATTCAAATTTAACAAAAATATATAAATAACACAAATTTCTAAAGTTTAAAGAAGGATGGATTAAAAAGTATAAATTTATATAGTTTATATTTTACCATTAGATCCTATGTTAACTTTTTCAAACTTTTAATGTTTTATGTATGTCTAAGCAATGGACACGCGTGCCTTCCAAGTATTGGAAGCGTGTCCAAGTCTGAAAAAAATTTGAATATAATAAGACATGCTAGACGTGTGTCCAACACGTGTTGGAAGTGTCCGATGAGTGCCGATATCTGACATGTCTTGGACACAAATGAGACGCGGACACACCACTTTCTTAGAAGTGTCCATGTTTCTTAGTTTACATGATTATCAAAGCTTGCACTCCTTTCACAGCCAAACAAGAGGCTACACATCACTGAAAAATGTGATAGATAACAAATCCATAATGTTATTTTGGACCTTACACCTAGATGTAGGACTTATAGCTTAAGCACGCATGTACATCATGGGTGCATAATGATAGTAGTAGCTAAACATTAGTGAGTCCAAGCCTTCAGAACTTAACGTGTATGAACAGTACTGAATTTGTTTTTAAAAAATAAAAAAAAAATTATTTCCAGCTTGCAAAGCTTTAGCACGATAATAATCCGTAAAATTCTTTCCAGCAATTACAGTACTTAAACAAATGAACATACCTTTTCAGCAGAAACGGTTGCTGATGTAGCACAGATGTTTTTAATTCTGGTCTCTCTGGGAAAGAAACCTGATATATATTGAATTCACAATACAGATAAACTTCAAGATTAATAGAAGGGACTCTGCTGAGAAACAAGACATAAAATAGATACTGAAATAGTTACATTGAGAAATAAATTAAATTTCGGATCACGCAGAGGAGATATTTATGAAGAAAACCATTCCAGCAATGACAACAGAGGACAATAAAAGCCAATGAAACTAAGCATTTGGAAGAAAGACTGAAAGACTATACCTCAACTGATATAATGAATGGCAATGGAGCTCTTTCTCCATGTACACTCGTCACTTTGAGGGACCATTTTGCATATTTTCTCTCTGCATTGCAAACAAAATGACAGTACAGTACTTCAAATAGGATTAGTGTATGTAACCTGAGGCACCCTTGTGGTCAAACTTGAATGATGAGTCAATTAAAAGTGAAAACAGAGACGTGCAGGATTTACTGGAATGAATCATGTTTTCAACTAAAACTGCTGACATTTCTACTTAAAACGCAAGAAATGACCCACTGGCAAAGTGGTTTGCATAAAACAGCATTACACGCATGCTCATGCACACAAACATATACTTCTGTCTTTCAAAAGGTGAAGAGACCCCCCCCCAAGTTCCAAGTACACCCACACACACACCATGCACAATGAGACCACCTCCCTCGTCTTCCAAACACCAAAAATAACCTGTTATTTTTGAAAACTGAACTTCTGCAAAGCCAAATCTCCACATCAAAAACCATTCCAACAACAAATGTGTTGAGAACATCCTGTCCAAAGGTTTACCCCATTTGAGCTCCTAGACTCAATCCCCCTGTCCTAATCCACCAAACAGAAAATAAGCTCAAACTCCCAGCCCAACAAATAGAAAGTCCCCCCGGACCTTTTCCAGTCCCTTTGCTACCAATGCTAGGAAAATGAACTAGCAATAAAGTTATTAAGCTAGATAGGGTGACTTCATAGGGAGTAGATTTTTGCGACAAACATGAAGGTTTCTCTTGTATACAAAATTAACCAAGATAGGGTGTTTTACGAAGTTAAAGTGTTGTAATAAACATAATTTATACGGACAAATGCCAATGATAAGAAACACAATATGGGCAAAGAGATACCTGAAAAGGCTTGGAACTCAGTAAAAATGATCTGGAAGAGATCAACTCGAACATATGGAGGAATCCGTAGATTAAGATAGTGCATCACCCCTGCAATTACCTGCTCTAGCTCACGTCAATAACTCTTTGCACACAGGGCCAAGTAAATCCGAACATGTGCGCTTTGCATGTTGATAAGAAATCTGGTTCACTAGTAATTTCTTAAACAAATAAAAGTGCTTAAGAATAATTAAATAATTGAAATTATTCATCATTCCTTGTAGAAGCCACTTAATATCTTAAACACCTGAAAGCAGTGTACAATGGAGGATTGTTGCAATATTGTAAATAGAATTGACAGGAAATCTAGATTATGCAAAGAGCATTGCTATTCAAGACCAAAAATTAGACCCAATTTTCAAGCCTAGATATGGCAATCAATTAAGATATTAAAGGCAACAGTCTCTCTCATATCTTCTCTAATCATCAACCAATTATATCACTTACACATCACTGGGTCTAGAAAATAGGTCTAAAAAGTGGATTTGTATATCATTTTCCTTATGCGACTGCAAACTTTCAATACACATGCCATGTGCTAGTATTAACGACTTGTCTACTTCAGTGCAATCAAAGTCACCCGAGGTTAGGCTTTCAGTTTTTGAAAATTAAATGATTGTACCTTGTCAACAAGCCCACGAATCACCAAACTTGCTTTCTTGTCTTTTGGAGTTTGCTGCAAAAGCCATAACACTAATTATAAACAGCTACCAAGATAACCATAGACGACCATACAGACAAAAAGTGAATGTGATGAAGACATTGCACTGGCAGAGAAGGGAACAATTGTATCCTCTACATTATTATGCCCTTAAATATATAAAATAAAAAATAAAAATTAGTGCCAGGCTCCTTGTGTGTTATATAAGAATTTGCATTCAAAGATACTTTCCCACGTTTCACAAGCAAAGAGAACACCGCATGAGAATTCATATGATTCTTTGTTAGAAATATAAAAGAGACATTCATTGAAATAAAAATATAAAAAGAAGAAGAATAACAATTTTGCACTTCCAGTTCCAATCCCTAATTGGTTAAAACAAGCAGGTCAAGGTTACAACTTTGGTAATCCTTTGATGAGCAACATCCTTTGTCTCATTTGTAATATGAACTAAAGGCAATAACTACTTTGCAGTCGGTCAAAACTTTTCTCCTCTGGATAGGAATACATAATTTAACGATAACTTTCAAAGTAAGAAATAGAAACCAGAAGAAAAAAGCAAAAACCTGAAGATTAACAATCACAATCTTTCCCCCACCACGGAGAGATTTTAAAGGGAGGTTGCAAGCTGGAGTGATCTGCAAACTGCACAGCATAGCTAAACACACAGTTGTTCAAAAAATACAAAAATGAACAAGACGGATGATGTGAAGCAGAAACTAAAGTCATATAATCTAATAAACAAAAAGGTCACAACTAATGGACTACAACATGAACTACAAAAAGCAAATGAAATTGCGCAGGACACCATAGTATAGAAAGTACACTGAAGAAGGAATTTCAAGTTCCATAAAAAATAATGAAGGACTGTACTTAAATTTTTTTGGTTAGAAATAACCTATGACTATCCTAAACTAATAAATAACCATAAGTAAGAAATAACATGCACAATACGATGTATGATCCTAAAGATCTACCTTGTCCCCAAACACAATACTATATCAGCCATTCGACAATGTTTCTCAGCTGCATTCATCTCTGTCGGGGGCAAAACATCCTACAAGAAAAAGGTTAACCACATTCATCAACATTGAGAACTTCACGAAAAGGTTTTCCATGCTTTTGATTGCATTGGAAGCAATCTATTCTGGAAAATAAATAAATAATAAAAAATAAATCATTTTGTTATATGAATATGGTGACAACTCTGTAAAGAAGAATCCTACTGCACACATGTTTCCTGTTCTGTTTCCAAAAATTCAGAAAACAAAAACAAAGTTCAAAGTAACAAGAGACAAATTGACTCCAAACAAGTCCTTAGATATCAGATTCAACAATTTAAGGTTTTAACACCACTAAAATGTACTCCACAGTTTGACATTGCAACAAGAGTTCTATTTTGGCTTTCTAGCCTACAAATTGTATAAGTATTTATGTATGCCGCCTTTGTCATCTGCATAGATCTTTGAGTAAGTTGCGAATGAATTCTCTTCAATTACAAATAGCTGAGGAAATAAGTGCATGTGCCGCTCCCCTTCAATATAATGCAACAAATAAAAATGAGAGTCATAGTTACCTCCCAATCAAGAACAGTATCCTTAAGTTTTGCCCCACACTTCACATCAGAACAGCTCCTTGATGTCTTCTTCAACCCAATAGTCTCCACCTCAAAATCCCGCAAATACCTTCAAACATCAAGTAATTGAATTAAAAACCATGAACTAAAAAAATGATAATTCTAACCTTCTATATCAGATGATAAAATTGCTAACTTTGACTTAAAACAGATTATGAGAAACAGAAACCATTCAAAATTTTACACTTACTCCACTCCACATTTGGAGCAAATTTCCTTGAAGGAGTTCCCATGCAATTTTGCTAGTTTCTCTCTTGGTATTCCAGATCGGAGATGTAGGCTATCCACATTCTAGAAGATACAAAGTATTGAACAATTAATCATAGAAAGTCTAGCAGATAGAGTGATAAACTTAGCAATCCACATATAAAAGCCCATCTGCATGAACATAAGGCTTAATAGGAAATAGCAAAGAGGAAATGAAATATAAAATACTCAAATAAAAAAATAAAAAAATAAAAAAAGAGGAGGTAAAAAGAGATCTCATCAACCATCCTCAATCTCAGGTAGTCTTAAAGTACAAAACGTATGAGACAACGAAAGAACAGTACAATCTTTTCTTGACAAGCAACAGCATAAAGTCATAAACTAGCCTGGCTAATAACGAACTTCAAAAAGCCAGCCTTCTCAAGTTCAACCAAAGCCATATGTGTCATACTTGGCATTGCCCGATGAAAAGGCAAGGATGCTTCAGGCACGCCTTTTCCTTCACGCTACAAGTCAACATAACCAGATCAAACTAACCACTAGAATGAGATGAAGAGAAGACAAGGACAAGGGTTGTAGATTGGCTTCTCCAGATCAAAAAATTACAGAACCATAATAGAAATCATGATTTCACCTGAAGTGTCCACACTCCCTTAGGACCTCGGAAATCAGGTATCCCACAAGATGTTGATATTCCTGCACCTGTAAATACTACTAGGTGCTTACTCTGCAAGTACAGAAGAAGAAATTCAAAACCGTTAAATAATAATTAATCTAGAAGAGATGTTTTTGAAGATGTAAGAGACAATGTGATTAATTAGTTTTAGATTTTAGAAGTCCTTAACCTTCTGTATCATCAGCGCAAGCTTTTTAATCTGCCATTCAACAGTAAAACAAATGATATCAGAGAGCTGAGACAAAATCACAGAACCTCATTTCAATGAAAATATTAAAGAAAGGTGACTAGTGATAGAATAATTCTCAGTGTCGTTCAGTCTTGAGGGGTTTTCATCCAATAAGCATATGACTCTAGATTGATACTTTGGAAGTTATTTCGGAAGTATAAACAATTTTTCACATTATAAACTAAAAAAAGAATGCTCAGTTTAGTACCATATAGATGGGGGTTTGGGAGGGGTAGATTGAGTACAAACTAACCTTTGGCATTACTTGCACTAACTGGCTACCCTAGTGTTTGAATCCACAGCCTCAAGTTAGCTACTCACTTTATAAACTAGAAAGTTGTCAAGCAAATAATGGCATTCACTCAAAAAATAGAACGACATTCTGCAATGCCATGGCCTAAGGGTGATCCAAGGAACAGCAACAAAGTAGACAACAATAACCCTAAAAAGTAAAATGCGCCCACTAATCTCAACCATGGCTAACACTTTTCCAGAAGCTTCATATGCAACAGTTAATCCATGCAGGGTCTCCAAATTCTAAAAAAATATTTTTAAAAAAAATGTCAAATCTCTGAATCAGGAAAATTGATCCAGATTTCTCCCGTCTCCATTCTCAATAATCATGAATTTTCAGAATTTCTCAGTATAATATATACACTTTGTACCCTTCACCCTGCAATACATCTACTGGAAATTGGAGCCAGTGTTGTAAGAAATTTGCTTCAAAAAAAATAAAAAATTAACAAGAAACAAAAACCCTTAACCTATCTCACCAATATTCATATATCTCCTCCACTAAAATTCTTTGCCTCTACCTAGATTACTATCTTGATACATGCTTAAGCACAAAAATAACACATATATATTTGTAAAACCCTATGTAACCCATTAAAATACCACAATACTCACCAACCACAATCAGGCTCAAAATTGCAACACCATTGCAAATAAACTTTTCGTGTTTCACAAAAGCTATAACCAATTAACCCTTTTGACAATGAGGCTCATGTACATACCCGTAATCCGAAAAAAATAAAAATCACACATAACCCATCTTTTAGCCCAACAATTAAAGTCCTAAACAACAATAAAAACCCCATATTTATACCAAATTTGAGCACAAATTTCAAGTAATCTATATGGGTTTTCACATTTACACAAAAGGGTATGCATGGTTGTTGTATGTGAAAGCTAAAGCGACAAGTGCACAAAAACAAAAAAAATAAAAAACGGAAAAGAAAAAAGATTTATTGAAGGGAAACAGAGAATGAGGAAAGAAAGAAACCCACGTTTTGATGCAAAACGTGGGGTGAGTCGAAAATCTCGGACATTCCAACAGTGCCCACATCTTCTCTGTAAGAGAGCTTCTCTGCATAACCCAGAGACATGTATGTTTAAATTCTCTTCAAACAATTCACTGATCAACTCTGGAGAGCGAAACAGACAGGGAGAAGAAAGGGAGAGCAAACACCTTTGTGTATAAAGAGCCAGAAACAAACATGGGGCAGGGCTTAAAAAGGAAAGACATTTGAGTTTTAACGAAATGACTAAAATACCCCCAATGTCTTTTTGGTGGCATGCTGAAAATTTCTCTCTTTTCCATACCCTTTCATTATTTTGCAAGTCCCATTTTAAATGGTTTATTTTGTAAGCTTAACTGTAGATAGAAATGAGTTAGGTAAAAAATTAATTTAATTAAATACCATTAAATATATGAAAATTTTGTATTTTTTTATGAACAATAATTATTAGTTTAAATTTAAATTGTTTATTTTATAAATAAAATGTTATTTATTCATTTATTTATCAATATTTTATGAAGTTAGATTTTTGCACAGGTAATTTTTACTACAAAATTTAAAAGATGAATAGTTTTTATCATTATCATAGACCAAGAGTAACTCTCACAAAATAAAGTATGAAGGCATATAATGATACCAATACCCAAAAAAAAAAAAAAAATTAAAAATTTAACTAAAAAAAGTCAATACCAAACGGTTTATCCTCTTGAGAATTAAAAAAAATACTATATATATATATACAGTGAAATACTATGATGCACACTTTTTAAAGGATGCACACTATATACACCTTATAATTGAAAAAAAAAATTGATATAATTTTAATTTTTTAAGTCATAACTAAATACAACATGAGGTATAACTAAACAACTCACAAGTAATAACTAAAATAATGTCGTAACTAAAAAAAAAAATTGTCATAATTAAAAAAAAATGACATAATTATAAATGTATAAGTACACTTTTTAAATGGACACACACATACACACACATATATATATATATATATATTATCCTCATTCTCTATAACAGCTAGAAAAAAAATATATACTTTTATTTATTTATTTATTTATTAGCGTTGGATATAAATGTTAGATACCGTTTAAACGAGTAAAATGATGAGATATTGTACAATCAACGATGATTTAGATCACTAAAAAATACATCATTAATAGCGCTAATGTATTAGAAATAACAATAAATAAATAAAAAAAGGCATAAAAAGTGGACTGAGCCCACAACCACATCATTAGTGCTCCTCCTAGTGCTCCCTTTTTAGTACTCCCAAGCATTTTTCTTGTACAATTTGCTTCAAAGTTCTTCCGTTTGAACTGTTGCTCACTTACCACTTGTGACAATTTTGGTGCCCATTTTTGGTATTTTGAGAAGATGATTAAAAATTAGTTTTTTTAACTTTTTTTTAGCTTTTTTTGGAAAAATATGTAAAAAATGTGAGATAATAAAATTCAAAATGAATTAAAAGTTAGAAAGTGACTTTTAACCTATCTCTTAAAATAGGCCTTTTTATCCCCTTGTGTGCAGCTACCAATTTGTGTTTTTATTATGGGTGATTACAGGCCTGGTTTGAGAAGTGGATTAGAGAGGTTTTTTGGATTAAAATAGTTAATAAAGATAAAATAAATTAAAATAATTAGTAAGATAAAATGTTACATTTAAATTATAATTATTTTATTTTTTCTCTTACAGATATCAAATCAACTATAAAATAAAATAAAAAAATCAATTATCATCCCAAATACAATTTTTTTTTTTAATCAGATTAAAATAGTCAAAAAAATCAACTAAAATAATCAAGTTCTTAAATGAGCCCACAATTGGGTTTTGCTTAATTTTGGATTAAATTAAGAATTAAATCCTAAAAATTTTGGAATCAAATAAAATCGATCATTAAATCAAACCACACCAAATCATTGATGCTTGGTCCAGTTTGATTTGAAATCAGATTTCTAATAACTTGTCATCTCTCAGAATCTGTCCATGAAATATCATTTATACATCAAAATAACCAAAATACATCATTAAAAAAAAAATAGTCATCATCAATCAAACTGTGGGGATATATTTTTTAGATACCAACACGTGGCATGGCGACGCCGACGTGTCAGCCGAAGTACCACGTGTCTTGGTCGTTGTGCCGAGGTCATCTCGGCTAGGCCGAGGTTGCCTCCGAAGATATCGGAATCCGAGATAAGCGGATAAGGGACAAGAGTCCTAAAATGAAGAGGGAACTCAACTTGGATATGGACAAGAGTCCTGGATTGGGAGAAGACTTCAGTTTGGGTAAAAATAAGACTCTTAGAAAGTTTATCCTTATCCTACTAGGAGTCCCAGATTAGCAGTAATCCTAAGTCCATTAGGGTCAGGTTCCTATTGGGACTAGGATTGGATTGGCTATAAAAGAGAGGCACCCCCATGGGTCTAAGGTATGCTTTTGATACTCAAGCTTGTGAGTTTAGTACTTGATTTATCTTTGAGAGATATACTGACTTGATCGTCGGAGTGCCCCCGGATGGTTGAAACCACCGCGGGATTCTTATATTGCTGTTACAGGTTACTAAAGCCATCTATTCTGCCCGTGCTCTCCAGCTGATTACTAGACGGGCAGTGTGGTAAGAAAATTACCCACACAATTTGGCGTCGTCTGTGGGAATCTTAGAAGAATAGATGGCTAGTGACGGACAAAGGGAAAACATTGGGGGCGAAACTCCTGTTGGGAGTGGTAGACTAATCGACCTTGACGTTGAAGGAGACAACCACAGTACGAAAAATCATGACCAGGGCCACGGAGAAAAAGACATCGGCCAGGAGGGCGACGCTTCAAAAAGGACAAACCAAAGCAAGTACTACAACGAAGATAACCTTCAGGTTTGGAGGAATAGGTGCCTACGAAGGGATGAGGAAGTAAAAGACTTGGCAAACAAGCTGGCAGACCTACAGTCAGTGGTCAACTTCATGATGCAAAACAATGTTATGCAGCTACCATACCCGCTGCAAGATACGCCGATGCCAGCAATTAATACCCAGAAGGGAGAGAGAAAAGCAATCCCCGAAGCCCCTCAGCTCACCAGGAGTGGAAGCCACTCTCACCGACGTTCCAGGGAAGTCGGACGAGAGGAACCAAGGCAAGAAGAGTCCCAAAGGACACATCGCATGAAGGATCCAGGGCCCAAAGAACATCGTCATGTTCAAGGGCAAGCACTATGCTTTGACACAACCCATGGAGAAAGATCGAAACGGGCCCACCACGAGGCCGAAAGTAGTGTGCCAAAAAGATTGAAGTCCAGAGATAGCCGAGCTCCAGGTAGGAGTAAGGAAGACTTGAGGGTTTACTTCAAAAGGAGGCAGCAGAATGCTGAAGCCGAGGTGACTTCCAAAGTTAAGCCGAGAACACCATTCTCGGTGGAACTTGACAAATTTGAAGCACCAAAGAGATTCAGTATGCCGAGGTTCCAAATTTATGATGGTAAGTCAGACCCCAACTTTCATGTTGGACTATACCTGAACTCAATGGCATTATACAGTGGGAACGAGCCATTGCTCTGCAAAGTATTTCCCTCATCCTTTGGGGAAATTGCATCCGATTGGTTCCATATGCTACCAAAGGGAAGCGTGAAGACATGGAAAGGCCTGGCCGAGATGTTTGTGGCCAAGTTTGTTACAAACAAACTACAGCCCTTGAGGGTCGACGCCCTGATGGCTTTAAGAATCACCAAGGAAGAAGGCCTTAGGGCCTACGCAAAAAGATACTACGAGGTGTTCAATCGAATACCCGAATACAACCAAGAAGTGGCGGTCGTATCTTTCAAGAACGGCCTCAAAGATGACTGCCCACTACGGAAGTCTTTGGCAAAAACGCTGCCAAAAAGCATGGAAGAACTCATGGCAAGAATTGAGAAGTACGCCAGAGCCGAGGAAGATACATCGGGAAACAAAAAGATAAAGCAGGAGAAAGGAAACGGCTCACCGAAGCGAGGCCGAGGCAACAACGGACCGACCAAACAAGAAACAGAATTAAAGGGTAAACAGGCAGTGACGACGGTGTTCCGAATCCCTATCCATAAAGTCTTGGATCAAATACGAAACCAACCCTATTTCAGAACCCCAGCAAGAACACCAGGAGAATTCATGGGAAGAAACGTTGGTAGGCGTTGTGCTTACCACAATGAAGAAGGGCACCCAACTCAGGGTTGTAGGAGCCCTAAAAGCACACTTAGAAGACTTGGTAAGACAGGGCCATCTGAGGGACCTTATTGATGAGGCCAGGACAAGAGAAGAACAGGCAAGATTGCCTCAAGCACTAGCAGCTCCACCACCTCCAGCACAGCAACCACAGGCAGGAGGGCCAAGGGTGGTTAATGTGATCCACTCAAGGGTCAATGAGAACGAAGTCAGAGGAGAAACCCAGAGGGTAAGGCATTTACAGCATATCTACCAAATCGGGGAAAAAAGACCTCGGCCTGAAGAAAGCCAAGGACCAATGATAACCTTCACTGAAGCCGACCTAGAGATGGTCCAGCATCCGCATAATGATGCCTTGGTAGTATCCCTCCAGGTTGGGGAATGCGAAGTAAAACGCATCCTAATAGATCAAGGCAGCTCTTGTGACATCATGTATATCAGATGTTACAAGGAGCTGGGCCTTCATCCTGACGACCTGGAACAATCCAACAACCCTATGGTTGGCTTCAATGGAACGCCGACATGGCCACTGGGCACAGCAAGCATGGAAGTACAAGCTGGTACTAAGAAGATCAAAACAGAATTTATGGTAATTGGCACACCCTCACCATATAACATCATCTTGGGAAGACCATGGTTGCATGCAATGGGGGCAGTTCCCTCAACATTGCATCAACTACTACGATCCCCACAGAGCATGGAATTGAAGAAGTCAGAGGAGATCAACTACAGGCAAAAAGTTACTCCATGGCAGCAACGAAGTCCACTTGCAACATTCGAGAGCCAAAAGAGGCAGAAATTGAAAACGAGGACATGGAGGTCCTAGATGATGTCGGCAAGGAGCCAACCGAAAAGAGTGAAGAGACACTAAAGAAAATCCTAGTCCAGGAGGGCGACGAAGAACGTTTCTTTCTTCTTGGTTCAGGCTTACCCGAAGAAGATGAAAGAGAACTGGAAGATTTTTTGAAAACCAACATTGAGGTGT